TCCGAAGTTGTCTGCCATAGTAGTTGTCTTGATTCCCAGCATCCGACAGTGGACTTGATACATTCTCAAATGTTTCCCCGGCATCGTAGTCGGCATCATCAGTGAGGCTTGCCATTCTCCGCACCAAGCGACGAACTCGTCAAAGAGACAAGTGAAGTCAATGCCTCGACAACCGTTCTGCCGAAAAAGTTTGAGAATGTATCAAGTCGCCTGTCAGATGCTGGGAATCAAGACAACTACATAGTCTCCCTGACCACAAGACCAAGTTGCGACAACGAGGTCAACCGACTTATAATGATATAATTAATGATAACAATAATGGATAGTATAAAAAATCTAATAATATTTTTAAAATAGTCTAAGAGATAAGCATTTCCTCATTTCGGCATGGGCGAACTTGCCATAATATGGTAGATAAAGAGAGGCAGAGCTTACCCAAAAACATGAAGCTTCATGTTTTGGCATGGGATTATGAGGTATCTAAACGCGATTTTAGCTCTTCTGTGCCAGGGCACATGTGGACATGTGCGGCCATTTTGTGTGCAAGGCCAGTGTGTTTGGTGTGAGAAGAAGAGGCAGTGAAAAATAATAAATGAGAAGAGGTCAACTGCAGCCCGAGCAGTTGCCCTTTCCACCCGCATTCTGTCCGTCGGTGTGACATAACGCCTTTATCATAACTGGACACCGAGCACAAGCATGCCAACAGGGACCAGCAGCTGCCTCGCATTGGCCCAGCCCAGCCCGGCCAGTTGGGCATTTACGGCCCGGGGCACAGAAGAGGCTTATCTGTACCCGCGTCTGCCATCGTTGCTCCGGCCGCCCCATCCGTCCACTCCGCCTGACTCAACGCTCGCTTGCCACCTCGCCGAGGCCGGCCGAGGGGCGTCGACGTGACTACCATCTTGCCGCAGACTCAGCGTTGCCAACACGAGGGAAGAGTAATAAATCATTTTTCAATGTGATAAAGATCAGACCGTTTGATCATTGACGAGGCCACCTATCTGATCCCTGGTCACGAGACCCGTACATGCGCAGACAGATCCCGCCACCAGCCACCAGCCACATCGGCACCGAGCAGAGCATGATCCACGCTTTGTCTGGAGGCACTCACGCACGTGAACACTGTTTTTTTTCCAGCTTAACGCCAACACATGATTAGTCCAATTAATTATCTCGATTGCCTTCTCGGAGGAAAGCTATGTGTTTTCGCGAGGCCGGCCGCAATGGTATTTGACCGCTGGGCAATTTGCAAATCCTCTTGTCACTTGAATAGGTTAAATGAAGGACCGCGGCCCGAGCGGAATATGTCAGGCGAGCCCGTGATTAATGCGCCTACCTCGAAGCACGTAAACGTATGTGTAAAAGTATGTATATGTGTATGTTTGTGTGTATGTGTGTGTGTGTGTGTGTTCTTGTACGCAAAAGAGACAGGTAATCAGTGAAGGCCAGTCATGGCACTACAAAAGTTACTGTGGAGACGGCATAAAGGGCTTGGATAGGAGAAGACGAGAGAGAAGTTGAGAGGGTGGGCGAGACAACAATCAACCTTGGACAGATGAACAAAACTTTTGCTCCAAATGCTGATTCCCCTCGGTACCAACCGCCTAACACGCGGATAGCGCAGTCACATCCAACCACCAGTTGAACCTCGGATCCCAA